ATTTGATAAAGCAGGCAGGTGTTATGGTTACAAAATATCATGCAAGTTGACAAATGAGATGAAAGACAAGCAATGGAAAGGAATGAATGCATGATAGAAACAAGACTGAAATACGTTACTCTGGAATAAGAATGGTTAAAGGGGAACATCACTCAACTTGTTTGACGAGATATGATGTTAGCCACCACAACATCTTCCCCAAAGCCTGATCAGAAAGAGAAAATGGGTGAAATGGAATAGGAAAGAGAAACTGACAAAATGGCTTCGGTAGAATACCTAATGCCAAACAGAAAATATCACGAGTTAAACGAGGAGAACCAGAACGGTTTAGTTTATTGTTAGAAGTCTATGTATGTTAATTAGTATTGTTATTTCAGTTAATAAACCATCAATATCCAAAATAATTGAAATTGTACTGAGACTATTTTATACAAATGATGTGATCACTTTTAATTCAGACTATATACTATACTCCTTTATATAAGGTTGTTAATATCATACGTATTATCATCATCGTTATTTGACAGCTCTTTGCTGGACACCAAATAATAATAATAATAATAATAATAATAATAATAATATTTAATTTTCATATAAACAAATTATTTGAAGATTCCAAGAATATGTTAGAAAGATGATTTTGATAAAGGATGGATTGAGAGTGAATTTAGTCCAATATGACTTTTTTTTAAATAAACAAATAAGTTTTACACATTATTATGTACATGAACATAAAAACATACAAATGATTATTAAGAAATCGTATTAATGAATTACACACTAACGATATTACCATGCAGAGGTTCCTATAGCATACCCCCGAAACGTATTTTCTCATTTTCATTTTGTAATTATATATAGGCCTATCATCTTTTTTCTATATCTATTTGTTTGTTTATATATCTACTTATCTTCTTCTTTTTTCATTTTGTGCATGATGGTATGCAGGAATGAATTTGAGTTTTGTTATAACAAATACTATACGTTGTGGGCGCCACTAATGTCCAAATAAAAGCATTTTGGCGAAGGACTAGGCAAATCACATCAATTTCAAATTATTTTTGAGTTTTAAAACATTGGACGATAAGTTATAGTTGTTAACTACCAGAATAATGATTTCAAGAATATGCAGGCCTGATAAAAACCCGATTTAAATCGGTTTCCCGATTTTTTTTGATTTTTCCCGATTTTTTCCCGATTTTTTTTTTTCTTCCCGATTTAAAAAAAAAAAAAAAAAAAAAAAAAAAAAAAAAATCCAGATTTTTTTTTTTACCAATTTTTTTTCTTCTTCCCTATTTTATCCTGGTTTCCCGATTTCCCTCTTATTTTCTCTATTCTTCCCTATTTTGCCCTTTTTTGCCCTTTTTTTTTTCCTAATTTTGTCCCAATTTTCTTACTCGAAAGGGGGGAATGTTGTTAGATGCCGTTTTTTCCCCGCGAATCCTCTTTTTTTTTTTTACTCAAGGGGGGCGTGGTTGACGGGAAAACAAAAAACCTATTTTTTTTTTTAGTGCTCACTATCACCCCTGAATATGTTAGAAAGATGATTTTAATACAGGATGAATTGAGAGTGAATTTAGTCCAATATGATTACATGCACGATTTGTCTCATGTTAATCATGTCCGGACTCAAAATTGCCAAAAGATGTTAAACCATGCTTTTTATTTCCGACCAATTGTATGAGGTATATGGTCATGCATATACATGTTGAAAATGTATTGCTGAGCTCAAATATGCATAGTCATTAGTTTCGTGTATGAAAACATATAAATGAATTAATGCATGATTCATTTCAAACATTTACTGGGTTAGAATGCGCAAAAACCCGTACTATAGCATTGACATTTATAGCAAAGATGTATATTAAACATGAAAATAGCGGTAAGTAAATTAGCAGATAGGAAGAAGTATTTATGGAGCAGAGTAAAATTATCCTTCCGATTAAATATAAAGTTTAGTTCAGGTATTGTATTATGTGTAAAATGAAACTGTTTGGAAGCAATTGGAGAAAGGTTGGTTATGCTGTAAATAATAAATGGTGTGAACTGTGAGGATTAGGAATCGTCAAAATGATTAGAAATCAACTAAATTCTTAAAAAGTTCGTATGCACTGGACAGGGAAATGTATATATGGGTCTTCACATTCATCTGGCACGAAAGTCTAGTCCAAAAGTCTCAGCTATTTCTTGTCTTATTTAGAAATACGAAGGCATTTGAAGAGCCCTATTTTTCGAGGGGACTTTTAATTGATGACATCGTTCCAAACTGGCCGATTAGAATGAGAAAGCTCACATTTCTTTTGTTTAAGTTAATCGAAAAGTAACCTTTTCTTGAATGTAGAATACTCACCCATGACTTGTCCGTACGTATGATCAGGGTAAGGTCCATGTATTAGAGGTGACATTGGAGGAGAGTGGTAGAGATCCCAGTCTAACTCATCATTCGGGTCCTGCTCAAATGGGCACAGGTCCAGCTGCTCGAAGTTACAATGGATCAGATCTACAAAGATATATAATTTTTTTTTAATGAAATGAAAGAAATATTGGTTTTCGGATGGAGAGTAATTAATGTATTCCATAATGCTATATTTTTGTAACACTCTTTGTATCAGATCCCAGTCAATAGATTCTGATCTGTACTGTAAAACAAGATATGTGGATTGTTTGGGCTCTCCTCGTTCGTCTTGACCTTAAAAAGGAGATCTAAATTAGATGTAAACTGAATACTATAGAACACTGCATGTGACAATAAAATTGATATGGTCATTGCTACTGAGTACTTAGATAATGAAATCAATTTTTCAAAATACAGGTACATGAGGTGGTTTGTGGGTGTGGATGGGACATGAGCGTGTGTGTGATAAATTAATTGACAACATCTGAAGACGTAGCATGGGACCAACATTTCAATATCACATGTATTCAGGGCACAAAGAGAAACACATCAAATTGTATTGTGAGAGAGACTAAGATACATGCGCGATCATATATGGCTGTCACGCTGCTCTCTTGTAGTTTTAATGTAATGTGTTTTGTTTTTATAATTTGTATGGCCAGATTATTCAATTACTTTCCAAAAAAATATTTTTCAATGTATAAATGTATGCAGATAACTGAAATTGAGTTTTTTTATGCCCACCCCCTCCCCCAACATTAAAGAAAAAAAAGCATGTAGCATGTATTAAAACAAAGTTCGTATATGTTGACCTAAGTTACGCTGTGATTAATATTCCGTTATGTTATTTCTAATAATGTTTGAACATGAAATATTGGTAGGATTATTTAAAAGCTCCTTCAAAAATGGTCTACTGGTTTCAAAAAGTGGATAGATTGGACTTGAGAAAGTATTTTCATGCTGTTCTATTTCGCAAGATAAACCATGCCATATACTTCACACCCTACCGTATCTTAAGAAGCACTTCGTATATATAGTAATCCAAACAGGCGTGGTCTAGCTACATGCCCTAAGGATACAGTTATTTTCAGCATGAGGATTTAACCTAATCTCTAATCTCTGATAACCATACCATGTTCTACCATGCTGTCATGACATCATCAACATCCCTATCGACTAGTACTTGAAGGTTTTTGAAGATCTTTCCCTAGATTTATGATGTTTGGAATATTTGTTCAATTTTTGTTTTTTATTCCGTTAAAGCAGTCAAATCAAAGGTCATAGATCGAGCAAATTAAATCAAATCAGACTGATAATGGAAAATATTTTTGTTTGGTTGTTTTTTGCACGACATACACACATCCTTACTCTTCTGAGGAATACATATGCACTGCCTATGATACTTTAGTTAAACTGTTACAGCTATGTGGTATAGAATCAAGATGTTGAGAACTGTTTTTGTATTAATCTGTAAACTCGCTGTACGAACACTGAACAATTAGAACAATGAAGAATTGGGCTTGGAAGACTTTGAGACATAGTAAATTGCTTTCGACAATGCTAACCTGACTAGAAAGAACCTGTGATACATTCTGAAACGATATTAGAGATAGAAAACAATGCAATTGAGAGGCAGACGACAAAATATATTACCAACTGACAAAATCATTATCGCGCCTCCTCTTTGAAATGCTGAAACTCCCTGTGTTCGTTATGTCGTTAGAGTCATTTCCATTTCGCTGAATGCCATTATCATTACTCGCTATGTCAGAATCATTGGTGTTGATGGACGAAGCAGGATATCAGCGAACAGCAGAGACGACCGAGATTAAGTGCAGAAGCTCTATGACTCTGAAATGAATAATCAGCACAGATTCGCGGCAGACGAGAGATGCTATAAAACATTCATCTCTATTTTCAAATGAGCGATATATTAATCATCTTAATAAGTCTCGCGTTCTATTTTCGTTAAGGCGTGTTGAAATGGGTAGATCGATTGAATGGTAACGACTGTTACAAGGAACATGAAGGGAAGCCATTACATATAGTTTGCTATCTTTAGAGACTAATTAGACTTCATGACAGCAGAAAAGCATTAATAGTAAAGGAGAATTTGGAACTTTTCGTAAATCATAAGAAAGTATAATCATATATCCTACATTTTTGTTTATTTGTTCTTCACTAACGGTAGTTCAATGAAAAAGGATATTTTAATGGCCATTGTTATGTTTGTTATCGTTAAAAGAATTACAATGATACTGATGGTAATAATATAATAATAATGATAACAATGTTAATGATAACAATAATCTGGATTTATACAGAACTTAATACGAAATACCGTCTCTAAGCGCTTTACAGATATCAAATATGTATATTACCCCGATCACCGGGTTCATTTATGCACAATGTTCTCCACTCCCTGGGGATCATTTCTACATTATAGTAACCGTGAGAGCATTATGGCAATTACTAACACAAAGGCTTTCGTAGGAGTGACAAATGTAGATTAATGCATTGTCAAAATACATTTAGTGCCGTGTCGGGGATCGAACCCACCCAGAGTGCTTAAACCACTCTTTTGCTACACCACTACAAATATCAGATAACGTCGCCATTTAGGTCCAGAAAACAACCATCTTCCAATATGCTATCAAAACGTTATAATTACAATATAGAAGTCCTCTATATTCAAGCTGACTTTATATATTCATGTATACTTATTAAATTGCTATACAATAAAACAATAACATTGCAAAATTACCCAATGAATATAATGTATATTGTGAAATTTTATATGCAGGTATTAGTTTATATATTTAAGTAAATCAGCAAGGTTCCCACTTAAACAAGTATTAAACAAGTGAAACAGAGATCACTTGGCAGTACTACATGTGTGTAAAATTAGAATGCATAAGATGATCGTTGCTCTCATCACCCACAGGAAAAGGCCCTCGGTTAGAGCATGGACCTACTATTAGAGCTTATGTCCCCACGTATAGAGAGAGTTGAAAAATAGCTGACGAGTTGTCATAGTTTAATTCATTCATGTACGTGTGAAAGAGTCCAATTGCCAACTGGACACTGACGGAATTCACAGTCCACAAAGCACAATAAAGGGATATCTAAAATAACTTTTTTCTTGTAAAGTAAGTAAGCAAATAAGTAATAATAATAATAATTATTATTATTATAACAATGATACTAAATTTTACATTATAGCGGTTTAAGTTTACCAGGGTCGTTGGATTAAATTGATAATCCGCCTATTTGAGTACGCACGCTCCACTCCCTGTGAAGTATTCCGGGCAGGCATCATTTTACAAGCGCACACATGCCAATCCAACCATATTTGCATTCGCATCCTACTGGATACCAATTCAAAACATGGGTGGAGAGTGGCAAATGTAGATTAATGTCTTGTCGAAGGATATTAGCGACGCGGTGAGACTTGAACCGCGGAACATGTGATGCAAGTCTAGTGACCTACTCACCAGACCACGACACCTCTAAGTACGTACTGAGGCCATGTGAAAAGTTATAGATCACCAAATAGAAAATTACAATTTATGTAAAACTAGCAGATTCCCATTTAAGTATTAAACAAGTAAAAACAGATATTACTTGACAGTAAAGTACATGCACATCTTTGTAGATTAAGAATGCTCGATATGGGTCTCTAAGAACTCCGGGCGAACTGGTTGAACCGATTGACAACTTGCGTGTTTAATGAAATTAAAGGCAATGTAGAAAATAAAGTATACAATAGATTCACAGAAGAACTGTTCTGCTTTTACTAGCAGACATCAAAGGGGCAAAAGAGGGAGATTGCTAGACAGAATAGCGGGTTTGATCTTTGAAGACCTTTAAGTACGAAATGAGGCCAAGTGAGGCAGGTGGATAAGCTGAGTAATGCTGTGGTGAAATCATTTAAATCCTCACATAAATAGTAAAAAAAAGACTTTGGCTAGATTACACTGTATACGTATACACTGTAGAAGTACATACGGAAGGATATCTTTGAGCTTATGATATATTACAAGTATTTATTTTAATATTTTTAGAAGCTTAGGTAGTAAGGCTAAGCTTAAGTTGATAAGGCAAAGTGAAATAGCTATATATATTCATTTAAGTATACCTCTACAATATTTTAAGTATACAGTGATTTGAAGCATTGCATATGTAAAACCATGTACGTCTGGAAGACATCAATTGGCCGAGTGATCGTCGTCCGCTGGCACAGACCCTAATTTGACACTTAATCAAAAAATCATTGTGCCTTGAGAGAAGTCTAGCCCAGCTACCTACTGGTTGTGTCAGGAGCAGCTACAGTACATGGTCTATGGTAGTCTTATAGTGCAGACTCAGTTTTACGACTGACCAGGGTTTGTACTTGCAGACTAGAGTGATCGAGGCAGACTGATAGACCGAAAAACGGATTTAATCTTTGAATACCTTGAAGTACGAAATAAGGCCAAGTGAAGCAGGTTGATAAGCTGGGTAAAGCTGTGTTACAATCATTCTCTAGCCTCTCTGTAGAAGTAGAAAAGATCATGATTCACACCTAGGATTTATTCCCAAATTCGAGATCCCAGCGGATTTAGCTGGACGGATATAGCCCCCTTGCCAACGTCTATGTATGCCCAAGGAACCTGTCAAATTGTATTCGTCTGTCCGTATTAAGTGCTATTTATGGCACGTGACTCATGATAGAAAGTCCTTTGAATCGGATATAATGGTTGAATCATCTAATAGCCACCAACCTTATAACAATATGCGATTCTTTGAAGTTTTCTGAAGAGATGATATGTCATAAGCCGGTCACATCCCTTTGTTGCATTATAGTTGACCTTCCTGAGGGAAATAGTGCAGTACCCTTGATGTTTGACCGTTACATAAAAATAACCATCAGAACAAACACCTGATATTTCTTGGATGGGTGTTATCATACACTGAAATCACGATCGCCAAAACACTCAAGAAATCCTCAAGAAATCAACTTAAGAACAATTGCAATACCCGTATGCGGTATTGCCTATACGATTATGTTCAAATCACGTGATAAGTCCTTGTTACCTTCGTCTATTTCTATAGGTGACGCATAA